TAGTATTTATAAAATAAGTGTACTATTTCTTCTTCTTCTTCACAAAAAAAAAAAAGAAGTTATGTAGTATAATTTTAGTTATGTTTCAATATTTATGCAATACTACAATAAATATCATAATCAATACATTCGATGGTCAAGATTAAACATCTAATTTAAGGGTTCAAAACTTCAAATTACAATAATTACTATTTATTGTACCTATAGTACCTTCAAAACGGTACCACAATTAATTATGGAGTAATTCATTTCATGGACTAAGATAAACATATGTTTGATATTTTGATATTCAAAGGTCTTAGACTCCTTAATGTAATAAGTACAAGTTTTGTTCTACTATAGAAGACTCCACTTGTGAACATTCTTGTTTTAAAGATATTGTATTAATTTAATATTTACTCTAATTTTTTCTTTTTTTTTATATTTTTTTTTAATGCAACACACGCGGACTTTTTCAAGTATGATTGCATGAATAAAACGTACGAGTGGGAAACATTTGAACTTTCTAAGTATGAAACAACCTTTAACTAATTCACGCCTTTAGACTCGCAAGGGTGAAATAAAGAGATGGTTGAGAAAAGTTCCAAGGTTACATTTTTCAGGAAACATGTGAAGATTATTCATAGGATAGCTAGTAACAGTCAGTTAAAAGTGAAATAGTAAAAGACTAAATTAAAAGAGGTCAAATTTGGATGGAACATACGTTTACATAATTATTCAGTTATAAAGAGAAAATAAAGTTACATTAATTGGTTTATATTTTATTGGAATTTGCAAGTAATCTTCATAACAATTTGACATTGTCTTCATACATCTTTGACACAATCCTTTGGGAAATTGAACTTTTGACAAAATTAAGTTAAGTTAGATGGATTGTAAAGTTTATGCATGTTGAGTGTTAGTGCAGGAGTACTAATTTAATCATGAAAAAGAAAGCTATTAGCAAAGCTAAGCTAAACTTTCGCCATATTTTTGGTAAATTATATTTCACCTTATGATGAAAAAGAACGCATTTAGTCCATCTTTTTAAAAATGAGAAAGTATTATATGAGTCCGAAAAAGCTAGGTGAGACAAGTACGAGTTATTAGACATTTTATACGGAGTATAAGTTTTTTAACATCCTGACTTCTAAAATTTAAATATAAAATTTTGGATATATTAGCTTCACAAAGTATTGAGCGAGTTCGTTTTATTGTGAGTCCACCAACGCAATACATAAAATTTCAAAAACTGATATGTCCAATGAATTATATGTAAATTTAAAAAAACATACGAGTATCTAAAATGTCTAATAAATTTCCAATAACAAAACACAGTGCATATATTTCATTTTTTCAGAAAATTGAAATATATTAACAACTTGGAAATTGTATTCGAATGGTCGTACATAATTACCTTTAATAGAGTCCCTTTACAAAACAGAAGTTATGAGCTTTAAGAGACTAATGTACCGTACTACTAAGGAATTTAACTCCATGCACCAAAAAAAGTAAACATAAATTGCAGTACATATGCTATGGTATATTGGTATTAGCTTAAATGTGGAGTATCTTTAATTCTTAATCTTTAGGATACTTATACGATTATATTGTTACTAGGACCTGTTCCGATTGACTGAACTCAGCTGAATTGAACTGAACTGAACTGAACTGAGCTGAACTGAACTGAACTGAACTTATTAATTAGTGATTTTTAACTACGGATTAGTGATCTTTGATTATTTATTGATTAGTTATTGATATTTATTACTATACATATGTGTATATACAAATGTACATATTAAAATATTTACGAAAAATATACTATATAATTATAATTATAAAATGTATGGAAAATATATTAAAAACTTGAAACCTCTAATTTTCTCAATGAGATTAACATTAGAAATATGTTTCAAAAAAATAGAACCATTTGAACAATGAATTGTATCAATATTATTATTGTTATTATTATTATTATTAATTATTGATAATTATTATTATTATTTATTGATTATTATTATTAGTATTATTATAGTATTATTATTATTATTATTGTTATTATTATTATTATTATTTATTGATGATTATTATTATTTATTGATTATTATTGTTAGTATTATTATTATTATTATTTCAATTATTATTGTTATTATTATTATTATTGTTAATATTATTGTTAATATTATTATTATTATTATTATTATTATTTTTATATACTATTTATTATTATTATTTTTGTTGTTGTTGTCGTTGTAATAAGATATTAAAAGAATGAAATTTGGCTTTATATCATTAGCAATATCATTAGACATAAATTAAGAGCTGAGCTGAGCTGAACTGAGCTGAACTGAATCGAACTGAACTGAACTGAATTGAATTTCAACGGAACAGAACAGGCCCTAAGATATGGTCACATTCAATATATACCCGAAATTCTTGCATTTAACATAGGTAAAAATAAGTAATTACTAACTATTAGAAACAGTTACAGTTTTTTAGTAATTGCAATAACATCATTTCACAAAATGAGGCACAACCAAGAAAATTTCCTCTCCATCAAGTGGGTCAAATTTTGGTAACAAATTAACGGATGGAGATTTGGCCCCAATTTTATACTTCAATTTTTCAAAATCCTAATAAATTGGTTTAACACTTTGTAATGTTGTATACTAGATTAGTACCCATGTGTTGCATGGTGGTGATAAGTAATTAATCCTTTTTTTTTTAAGACAACCGCGGGAATACTATTATATTAAATCAAGATCCGCCAAAGCTTGAAAACTTTGGGGGAAAAAAAGATGTTGCCGATAAATTTTTAAGTTTTTTTTTTTTTTTTTTTTTTTTTTTTTTTTTTTTTTTTTTACAAAAATTGTTTGCTATATATATATATACATGTACATAATCCTTTTTTTAAATGGTTAGTTTTTATTGCTACATCATAATATTCAATATGTTATTGAAGATATATTAAAATGATATTTAGAAAACATATATATATTTAATGTTGCATTATCTAATAAACTTATATGTTTAGAGTGGAAGCTAAAGAAATAATATCTATATCTATTCAATATTGTTGTATTGGGAATATCCAAAAGTAGTATAGAGTATACAACAATATTGATGTAAAGTTCAAGTTTTGGATTTTTAGATTCATACTTACTTGGTCCTAATTTCTAGCAAGTAAAATAAAAGGGCAAAAAAAAAAAAAAAAAAAAAAAATTGATGACATCATATTTAAGTTTGGAGGGAAAATTTTTAATGAGAAATTGGACACATAAGACACTTTAGGAAATTGATGACATTAGCATGTTTTGCTTTAGTAATAGTTAATAGATTTCCTCATAGGCATTAAGTTACTTTTATGATTATACTATTTTTATTCATGTGTTACAATCTTCAGGACTACTGAATGTGTTTAACATCTGTAAGCAATTATTTCTTTGCAGGCATGTAGCTACTCTTAAGGTTATACGGACTACCATTTTTATTCACATGTTAAAACCTTCGGGACTAATGATTGCACTTAACACCTGTAAGCAATTTTTCCCTCTTAGGCATTTAGTTACTTTTATGGTCGTACCATTTTATTCACATGTCACAACCTTCAGGACTACTGGACTATTGATTGCGTTTAATATCTATTATTATAAGTTATTTCCTCGTAGGCATGTAGTTACTTTTACGGTTGTCCCATTTTATTCATGTATTACAACCTTCATGACTAATGACTGCATTTAACATATGTAAGCAGGTATTTCCTCATAGGCATGTAGCTACTTTTACGGTTGTACCATTTTATTCATGTGTCACAACTTTCATCAAGACTACTGACTGCATTTAGCATCTGTAAGCAGTTATTTCCTTTTAGGCATGTAGCTGCTTTTACAGTTGTATAGTATTATTCACGTGTCACAGCCTTCAGTATTACTGACTGCGTTTAACATTTGTAAGTAGTTATCAGCTTAAAATTATTGCTTCACTAACACAAAAACATGAATTATCATTATAATTGTTGTTGTAATTGTTTTTGCTTGAGCTGAAAGTAAACAAGCAAAAGATGCAAACATAATTTATAAAAATCTTCTTGTTGTTTGCTTTTGGTAGAAAAAGCTAAGGTTGGTAGAAGATAGTGCTGAAATTGCAAGTGACATTTCAAATTTGTGGCTTCACCTAGTATAGCATATATTTTTCACTTAAAATTCTCATACTTTTTCTCTCTCTCTCTCTCTCTCTCTCTTTTTTTTTTATTTTTTTTTTATTTTTTTATTTTAAATAAAAAGATTCAAAAAAATAATTAAATGTGACTGTTTTCGTAGTACAATTTCTCACAATCCTTGTGATAAAGCCCTTCAACTACATATCGAAAGTCACTCACAGTTTTCCACGTGGATACCTGTTTTCAAATTTTCTGTTTGGTTTCTCTCTCCAATCTTTGCTTTCCTGCGTGAAATTCTACTCTTGAGATTAATAGTGCTGCAGTGTTGTTTCTAGTTCCAATGGACCAGTTCATCATACCATAATTTTAGCTATTTACCCAAATAATCACCCTTATCATTAAATACATCCCAATTTTCTCCTACCCATTATTTCATTCATATGAGTATAACATTCCTCTTTACTTTTGGAATTACACTATAATAAGACTAAAGATCACGTATTTAAAACCATATAATTTCATATTGCGTAACAAATAAAATCACGCATTCATAAATGTTAATCCAATGTATAATTTGTCAAATTAGTAAGTCAGATTGGATTTAGATCAGATAATACTAATACTAATACAGATACCATTTCAAATCGTATTGAATAATTAAACAGGATACAAATCATAACAGATAATATATGGATCAGGATACAAATCACTTTGAATATTTTCAACTTAATTCGAATATTTTAAATACCTATAGGGATACTATATTGTTGTCTATAATGTTATATTTCAAAATTGTAATTGTAATTGTAATTGTAATTGTAATTCTCAAATAATAATAAAATTAAACCCCCGAAGGAAGAGGAAATACTAGTGGTGACATTTTGATGGGTGGGATCTTGTACTTTATAGTTGTATAAAACTGTCAACATCTCTGAAGTTTGATTCTCTCTTCCTCCTTTTTCTCACTCTTTCTCTCTCCTAATTCTCTCTCCTGGATCACCTGTCAATAAGCATGAAACTTCGTGATCCGTTCCATCCAGTTTTACCAGATTTGAGCTCCCTACAACTCTTTCTTTCATCTTTTTTTTACTCTCTCTCCTCTGTTTTCACCAACCAAATAAAATAAAATGCGCCCTAAAAATCTCATCTTTATTATTCTAATAATAATAATAATAATAATATTAATTCCTTCCTTTTAAACTTCACTCATCTTTCATTTTTCTGTTAAACCCCAGAAACAAAAACCAAAAATGGAGGAAAAGAGAGATCAAGAAGAAGAATTGAAGCATGTTTGTAAGCTTTGCAACAAAAGATACCCAAGTGGTAAGTCTTTAGGTGGTCATATGAGGTCTCATGTAATTGCTAACAGAAACAATAACATTAATAATCATAATCATAAACCCATTTCAATTCCTTTTACCATTCCCAAGAAATCTGCAAACTTTGATTATGTTTCTGATGAAAATGATGATGATGAAAATGGTGGAAAGAATTCTGGTTATGGGTTAAGAGAAAATCCCAAGAAAAGTTGGAGATTGGTTGATTCTACTCTTCTTAACAAACACCTTCATCATCAGTTTCAGCAACCTCAGGAAAGGGAAAGGGAAATGGAAAGGATTTGCAGGCAATGTGGGAAAGGGTTTCATTCTCTGAAAGCATTATGTGGTCATATGAGCAGTCATTCTGAAAAAGACAGGAACTTTAAGGAAGATGATGAAGAAGAAGATGAAGAAGAAGATGATAATTCATGGTCAAGTCACAGCAAAAATCACTTGATTTCAACAATGGAGTCTGATAATTCTGATAACAGCAACAAATTGTGCAATAAGCGTCGAACTCGATCTTCTTTGACAAGGTATAGCTCTCTTACTCCTCCTCCTCCTCCTGCTACTGATGGTTGTTCTGGTGGTGGTGGCTCGTCGTCGAATCATTCTGAAATTGATCAGCATGAACAAGAGGAAGTTGCAATGTGTTTGATGATGCTTTCTAGGGACTCATCTGGTCATAAGAGTTGCTTCAATTTTACTGCTGAGTCATCTGATAATAATTCTGTGATTTTGGAAGGAGGGTCTTCTACTAATCATGTTGGGATTTTGAGGATTAAGGACACTAGTAAGATGATTAAGAAAGTTGTTGTTGTTGCTAAGGAAGAAGAAGAAGAAGTAGAAGAGGAGATTAATGTGATTAATAATGATAATAATAATCATCATGAAAGTATGGATAATTCAGATTCAGGGTATTTTGAGAATGGTGCTAAGGAGCTTGAATCAGATGATTCTGTTGATGGGTTTGTGAGAAACTATGGATTTAAGAAGCCTAAAGTTGAGTTTGGATCTTGCTTTTATGATGATGATAATAATGATGATTCTGGAAAAAGGAGGAGGATTAGAGGAGGATTAGTGGGTGATTACAGCAGATTTGATCATAATCCTGAATCAGACGAAAATTCGAGTAAGAAGATGAAGATTAAGAAGAAGAAAATGTTGATTAAGCAGGATTATTATGGTTGTATTAAGAAAGGGAGCAAATATGAGTGTTGGGTGTGTAACAAAACTTTCAAAACACATCAAGCTTTAGGTGGTCATATTATAAGTCATAGGAAAAATGGTGACAATAGTTTTGATGCTAGTATTACTAGGATTAATGACAATAATAATTTTGGTAAGCAGAATTTGGTGGGTGTTTCAAGTGGTAAGATTATGGGTACTAGTGCTACAACAAGCAGCAAATCAAAGAAAGTTAAGGGTCACAAATGTCCATATTGTCCTAGAGTGTTCAAGTCAGGCCAAGCATTAGGGGGTCACAAGAGGTCTCATATGATGGGAGCCGGCCGAGGGGTAGTGAAGTTGGAGGAGAAGCCGAGGATAACGAGGCAGGTGGTGGTACCGCCAATGCCGGAACCCGAACACCAGCAGCAGCAGCAGCCTCCTTTGATTGATCTTAACCTTCCTGCACCAATGGAAGAAGAAGGAAATTCACAATTTGTGGCATGGTAGGTTGGAAATTCCAATGGCATGAAAGTTTATTGCTTTGTGGGAAATGTGGAAACTTTGAGGGGTCCCCAAAAAAGTTAGAAAAAAATGAAAAGAAAAGGGATTATTCTTAAGGTGGGTCATATGGGTTCCATGAAAATGCAGATGAGTGTACAGAGTACAGACTACAGACAGTTTGGTTGGATTGGTGGAAGATTAAAAACTTGAAAAAAATTTCATTTTTTTTTTAGTACAATGTGCTGGAATTATTTAGTATTTTGTTAAAGACTAAGTCTTATTTTCTGTTTTTAAGGTAACTGTTTCATTGGCTGGCTGCTTCTAGGAAGCAAAAGAAAGCAGCAGTTTTTTATTTTTTATTTTTTTGCACCTTGTTAGTTTTTCTTCTTCACATGTTTTTCCATTTCTTTATTTACTTTATTCCAAAGATATATATAGATGTCTAATCTTAATTAGTTGTCGTAAATATAGAAGGTGCACTTGACCCAACTTGAAATCAAGACTAGACTATATGGGTTATTCTTTGGTGCTATTCTTTTATTGATTGAGCTTGATTATAATATTGGTTTGAATCATTGAATTGGTAGCATGAATTCTTTTTTCTAATGAGATATCTCTCATTTCATCCATAAACTCTGACATTCATGTCCTGTCTTCTGAGACTTATTACTTAGATTTGGTGTCTTTGGTGCCAAAATATGATTAGATCCTTACATTTTTATATTATTTCAGCAAGTTATGTACTACTAATCACTTAACACATGCTTGGTTGAATGAACAAACAGATAATTTTTTTTTTAAAATTGTTGCTTTTTTCTGGAAATTTGGGATTTTTTTTTGTCCTTTTTATATGCTATTTTTCTGTAATTAGGGAAGCTCAATATCTTATATCAAAACTTAGCTTCAAAAGGGTCTTACTAGACATTCTTTAGAAAATGCCTTGTGAATATACTACTGCATATATATAAGCAAACAATAACATAGAGCATATATACTCTTTTGCCTTTGGATTTTTATGGTTTTTTTTAGTTTAGTAAGGAAGGTGATTAAGTTAATACTCCATGATAGCTCGATTACAAGAAAGAACCTTCCTAATCGGGCGAATGGGTCCCTCGTTGATGGAAGATTACATTGTGGTTAAGCTAATTTTAAGTTTAATTATATTCTTGATTTGAAAGATGAATCAAATTAGGAATGATTGGGAAATGGAATCATTAGCAATCAAAGTTGACAAATCTATAAGCATTACTGTTGTGTCAAATTTGTGAAGCTCTATCTTAAAGGTATGGCCACCCACCACCATTTCACCTGACTGACTGCCTTATTATCAAACATTTGCAATTTTTTTTATTTTTTTTTCTATCTTCCCTAAGTGGGACACCTTATTATATATTGGTCTCATTCTCGTCTAGTAGGGTTATTTTTTCACCGAATATATAATAGGAATTGCCTTCAGGTTTTAGACTCAAATCTAGACAGGATTAAGGCAAAAATGCTCTAATCAATGTGTTTACCACCAGATACATACTCCCTCCGTATGTTAAAGATTGCGCCTAAGAATGAATGGGAAATAGGGGTGGGGATGGGAGGAGATACAAAAGAAAGACATAAAGAGGGGGGAGTGGGGCAATTGAAGTGTCTTTATTCTTTGGCAATCTGATATTTACCTGCATCATTTTTTTCCCTAGTTTTATAGTTGGGATTGGGACCACTTGGAATATGGTTCAAGCCAGTTGGCTTATAAGTTTGAAGATCAAGAAGGAAGCAAAGGACAAACTAACTTTATTTGTAGATGGGATAAGAAATTTATTTGACATAACTTAGGTTTTTGACTTGTTTGATTCATTGCTCCCACCAAAAGTATGGTCAATGTGAAATGAGTATCTTCTGTTTTTTTGGTTACTTCTTCATTGTGGTGTATCAACTAATTACCTGATTTTGATAAATTTGTTTCATATCCACTTAACACAAATTTTAGTCAATGAAGAAAAATGTACTCAACTTCTTAGTTCACTTCATTTCATTTGAGTTAGAAAGGTTAGAGCGCATGTAATGAAAGGGTTTTTTTTTTTTTTTTTTTTTTTTTTGTTGATAATAGTTTTATGTTACGGGCTAGTAACTTAAACGACAAGTGATGCAGGATCTCTTTTTGTAAATGACTTACTCGTATAACTTATCTTCGCCAACTACTTTGCTAAAATATATATATTCTCCTCTCAATTCTAATCCATTTTGGGTAAAAACTATACCATCAAACTTGTAATCACATTTCTAATCAAGCATATATATGTTAACTTTTAGCTAATCATCTGACAAAAGAAGTTCCATTATTTTCACTTGAAACCCTTGATCAAGTTGTCAAATCTAGTTAACAACCTCCCCTAGTTTAATACTCTTACGTGTTGATTTGGTAGTTTCATATGAATATGTAACTCTATCTCTCTCAGTAGTTAACACTTAACAGGCACTGGGAAGTGGGAACAGCATCAGACCAAAAATGGTCAGAAAATGTGTAAATGAATGTTTGGCACTAAGTGGAGGCTTCTGGTAAAACACAGTAAGTTTGCCTAATGTGCTTTCACCAAATGTTGTCTAAATTTAACATATCTTGATTCACACCTAAATTTCACCATTCATTTCCCCTTTTATTATTATTAATTCATTACTTTTAGCTGGTCCTACTTAATTGAATTATTTAATCACCTTCTTTAATTTCTCTATGTCTAAATACATCAGTCTAACTGACACACTTGTCAATACACAATTTTGACCTTTAATATCTTTAATTATTTGTTGGTAGCCGATTTTATGAAGTTATAAGTTATGACTATTTGTTTTATATACGTAATGAAAAATTCATGTCAAAAGTAATGCATCTATTTAAGAACGGATAGAGTAAGGATAGGATGAAATACAAGTAATGACAATAATAATAAAAAAAATCCTGGTGTGTTTAGAACAGAGGAAAGGCAATAGTAGGGTAGCAGGGCCAAAAATGCAACTGAAGTGGGGAGCTTTTGTTCAGGTTGCTAAAAGAATGAAAAGTAAAGGAAGTAAGTTATGTATATGTGGGTTTGCTTTTTGAGCCAAAAAGACATAAAATTTGAGACAGCAATGAAAACCACCTTTGACTGTTGATGTAATCTCACTATTTATACACTAAGATAGGTCCATACTTCATTATGGTACCAACCATCATGTCACATGAATTTCTTCCCTTCAGATTATCGCCATCATTGGGTTTTATACTATTCTTCTTTCAGTTGCAAATCTTTTGGCACTAAATTAGCATGTTTTGTTGAAAGCTAGGTTTATGATTGTATACAATGAATATAATTTGGCACGATACTAGCTAAATAAGTTATTAGTTTGAATCACGTACGGGTATATCAACGGTCCACAATCTCTATTAATAAAATTTACATATTGATTGTGATTGATTAAAAGGAATATAATAATGTGATTAATAGCTTTCTAGACTCTATAAGGTAAATTTAATAGACATTACTTGAAGATTTTTGTACATTGATTTTTTGTTTTTTTTTGGATTTTGGTTTAGAAGTAATATTCAAGACAAGACAAATTGTAAAGGGAGAAAAGGTATAGACGGAGAGGGTCATCTTGTTAAATATCGCATTAGGAAATTGTTGATAAGAAACCATTCTATTCGAAATAACCTAAGGGATAATAGTAAGATCAAGATCCATTGTTGTATGACTTGTATAATTTGTAACCATTGTTTAAGAAACCCGGCCAATGATACTATGAAGAATTTCATGACTAAATATGATGCTATTAACAAATTTAAATGCACAAGTATTAGTGGTCCACTAGACTAGTGAGCCTTATGGCCAACTACTCATAGCAATGAATCAAATGATAAAATCGATTAACTGAAGAAGTCAATACATTAAAAACCATCAAGAGAGGTCAACAAATTCAAGAATTTTGGAAAGGAGTAAGATGAGAGGACTGTATCTTTTCACAAGTTGAATATGTATTACTCTCGAGACTTAAGACTTTGTTCTCCTCAACTTCTGTTTGCTCAATATTATTGTCTCTTGCATAGAAGTAGAGTGCACACTATCAAAATAATTCTCTATATTGAATGTTTTGTAGAGACCCTTTAATTAGTGGAATGATGATATACTGTGTAAATTTGCTGTTATAAAAGGCAGGCCTACAAACAAGTTCAAATGAGGTTCTACCTTAAGAGTAAACTAATAATAACTTCTCAAGTTTATAAGATGGTTATTTTCTCTGGGAGACCTCTAATATGAAACAATTCATATACTTGGTATGTAACAAATGGATTTCACCTCATTATATTTGGAAACATGTAAAGGTTGAATAAACAATTGAATGAATGCGCTTGCTGTATAGAGCCAATTCCTCCACCTGCCTGAGCACACGAGCAAGCAGAACAGCATTCGATGTGCACTTATCATCAAAGACCTTCCTATTCCTCTCCCCCTAAATGCACCACGCCATATAGGCAGCCTTTTGTTGCATCTTCACACTCTCTTTCTTCCAGCTAAGCACAAGTTCACACAGGTCCTGAGTCCTTGCTTCAAGCATCGAACCACACGTACGATCCTGAGTCCTAGAGCTCCTTCAGCCTAATACATTCAAAATCCAGCAAGTGTCTTGCTTTAAGGAGAGCTCTCGAAGGTAGAGTACCCATACACAGTCTCCATAGAAAATGCCGAACCTTTGGAGAAACCTCAATACCCCATATAGCCTTCCATACTTGATGAAATTCCTCAAAGTTGCATCCCTTACCAAGCATGTATGCGGTTTTCGTTGAGTACAAACCATCCTTCGAAAAGGCCCAAGTAAGCATGTCACTCGAGTGGCTGGGCTTTACGCCATAGAATTTTCTAGTCTGCTGATCCAACAGTTAGAGTGGAAGGCCCAATGGGCCTCAGATCCGTGAACTGCCAATTATATATTGACATATCACCATCAAACTTTGGTTAGTAAACCGTGGGCTCTGACAGAGATTGGCTAACTAACCCCATTTCAGATCAGATCTGACAGTTCTATAATGGCCCACGAGTAATGTCCAATCACAGCTTCAGAGTTCAGACCCATTTGTTGGTTTTGAATTAATTGCGACACCTTGTGCTATCAATAAATTGACTCACTAAAGTCCTAATCACTTTAATTGCTTTTTACATATTACCTCCGTTTTTATTTAGTTGACACTTTTCTCTTATTTCACTTACCGATGCACTATTTTAACCATTAATATTTCTATTTCTCGACATTATAAAATTATAAAAAGTAGATATTAATAAAATATACATTTAGATGATTCAAACAAGATTTCACTTGGCTATGTTTTATTGTAACTATACATCACAAAAGCTAGTCAAAATGTAGTTTGTGAATAGTGTAAAAATCAAATGGTGTCAAATAAAAAAAACGGAAGAAGTAGTTTAAATAACTACTTTTTCTTTCCCTAATTTTTTGCCCCATTACAAATAATTATTGGGTTAAACTTTCAATATTTTGACTTATAAATTCTCATTAATTAATAAGAGATAATATAATATAGGGTATTTTAGATTCTTCTCATTGTAAATTTTATTACAAAGTAATATTGAGTTTTTACAATTTTTACGCATATAGAAATAAAGTTATTTACGTTGCAAGATGTGTATTGAAGACCGTGTAAAGTCTGAAAAAAAAAAACAAAAAAACCATAGAGGAAGTAGTTATAATTACTGTGTACTCGTTAATTTACGGGTGATTTTTTTAGTCAAGTTGTAGAAAGTCCGTGTTGTGTTTTTTTATTGTACGCCGGAAGCAAATCTTTCCTAAAAATTGTTTTATGCATTTGAGTTGAAGGGTTTAAACGTCAACAATCTCTATTATTGATTTGTGAAGTTTCTACAGTAATATTTTATGTCCTTTCTTAAAAATAAATAAGCAAAAGTATCAATCGACAAAAGCTAACCAATTTTTTTTTTTTTTTTTTTTTTTTTTGCGTATGTGTGTTTAGAGAGCCATAAAAGCAGGTGATAAGAATCGATCCCAATATCACCTGGAACCGGGAGGGGAGCTCTAACCACTTAAGCTATCTCGTAATCGCAAGCCAAACCAATAGTTGGCTACAACTCGTGGTTTAGAAAGCTCAATTTATTTTGCCGACATATCGAGCTAAGCCAACGTTTAAGCTCAATTTATTTATGTTTTTTACTCCAATATTTTACTCACTCTTTTAAACTTTTCTTTAATTTATTTTTGGTTCACTTATAAAATTAAAAATACCCTTAATTTTTCTTAGATGTTTTTCTTTCATTACTCACCTTTTTTTCAAACTCTTTAAAATGATTATCTTGTGTTATGCCTCTTTGTTTATATCATATGGTTCTCTGTGACGATTCATGTTAGACGACCCCAAATCATTTTGAGACTAAGACTATATTATTGTTGTAGTAGTATCGAGCTAAGCCATAGTATATAGTTGTAGTAATCGGTTACACTTTGTTTAGATTAAAGGAAATGGAGGAAAAAGAAGGGAAGGGATGGGATGAAATAGAAGGATTGATTATCTTTTATTTGGATAATAAATGGGGAAGGAAAGGAATTGGAGGGGAGAAAAATGGAAGGATTAAATTGTAAGAAATTAATCTTTCCATCAATGGAGAAATTTGGAAGGAAAAGTCATCTTTCTTCCCTCCCCTTATTTTCTTTCCTATTTCTTTATCCAACCACACCGTTAAACTAAAACCAGTTTTCAAAAAACAAAATTAGATCATAGATAAAATTCGTTAAAAGAAAAGGTTCATTTGGACTAGGCCTTAAATGGGCCTATGGATCAAAATTTTTTGGGCCAAACTTAGGATGCATATAGGCCCTAAACTCACAACAATAAATATAATGTCCAACAAATGAGGACAAAAATGTAGAGCAAATTTATTGATTGACACTATGTTTGGATTGAAGGAAATGGAGGGAAAAGAAGGGAAGAGAAATTGAGGGATGAATTATCTTTTATTTGGATAACAAATGAGGAAAGAAAGGAATTGGAGGGGAGAGAAATGGAGGGATTAAATTGTAAGAAATTGATCTCTCTAACAATGAAGAGATTTGGAAGGAAAACTCATCTTTCTTCCATCCCCTCCCTTTCTTTTCCCTCCCCTTCTTTTCTTTCCCATTTCTTTATCCAAACGCACCATAAATGAGTCAAAGCCCTCAAAGGAAGATATGAATGACAAATTGAGTCAGCTGATTTATAATACGGTACTTTTTTTAGTTACGTTATTGTTCTTTAAAATGCAGCTAATGGAGTTGACAATCAATATCTTCAAGCACTAATAATAAAAAATTATGAAAAGTTGATATATTGAAAGCATATAGACAACTGAATGTAACAAATTTTCACATGATTATGGCTTTTGTTTGACAAAATAAGGTTAACAGTTTATTGTTTGACTAGTTGATTGCATGAGCCGATTTAATTGACTATCTGCTTGTACATATTATTAATTTGTTTGTATAAATGTTCTTAGTAAGTAGATATCAACTAATATTTATTATTTTATTGTGTACTATGAGTCTATGACCAATAAGATTATAAGTATAATGTATTATTACCTTGAACAAAATTGGTAAAGGACTGAAGGTAGTACATTTGATCAACTTTATGATAGAAGAGTCGTCTTTGATAGAATATGATAAATATTCTAGATATTATCTTGTATAGAAGGATATAGTTTTGTGAATATTCTGTAGATATCTTTTGAGATTTCCTATGATAATAGGACTCATGGTTGTAACTCCATATATATGAATCAATTGAATACACTCCAACGAAAGGGAGTTTACATTATCTAACATGGTATCACAGCCTAGGTTTTAGATCCAAACCTAGCTTCCGCAATTTTTTTTTTGCTTTTCCCGAATTTTTTATTTTTCTTTTGTGCCCTAGCCGTCCCCCCTAGCCACCCCTAACACCACTGCCGTCTTCCACCATGGTCAAGGACGGTGAATCCACAGCCTTTCATCCGACTCTTGGTGTTAGTAACATTAAGAATGTCATTCCTCTAATTCTTGATCGTGAAAAAGTCCAATATTCCAATTGGGTTGAGTTATTTGAGTGTCATGCTCATGCTTTTGATGTTCTTGATCATATTGACCCAAAAACACCACGTCCTATAGACCTTTTCGACACTATGTGGAAAAGGCTTGATTCCGTTGTCAAGAATTGGATTTATGGTACTATCTCTACTGATTTGCTAGAAACAATCTTGTGCAAAGGGGATACGGCACAACAAGTTTGGGATAAACTTAAGGAAATTTTCCAAGATAACAAAACCACTAGGGCTGTTTATCTGGAAAATCAATTTAATCAATTGTATCTATCAAAATTCTCTGACGTCTCTTCTAGCTTATTGTCGAGAATTAAAAAATTTGAAGGATCAAATAGCTAATGTTGATCAACCTGTGTCGGAGCAAAAACTCGTAATTCGGCTAGTTTCGGGACTAGTGAATACGGATTTTGATACTGTTGCTTCGATGATACAACAAACAACCCCGTTGCCTTCATTCCAAAACAGCGAGGTCTCGGTTGCTACTTGAGGAGTCACGGCGAGCCAATGACTCATCGTCACATGCCTCCTCTTTTGTGGCTCAGTCTGGCACCACTACGAACTCGACGACCACACAACAGCAGCAGGCGGCACCGGCTAGTCAGGGTGGCGGCTCCAGTGGTCGTGGTTGTGGTCGCAGCCGAGGGCGAGGCAGGGGTCGTGGCTGAGGTTCTCCACAATAACAGCAACAACAATCAGGCCCACAATGGGGCGCACCTCAACAGCCTTCACAGTGGAATGGCCCACCCAATCAGGCCCAACAAGCCTCCCTACAATGGGGTCAGGCGCCATTCCCTTTTCCTCAACAGTGGGCTAGCCCATGATCTCCATACCCGCCTCAGCAAACAAGGCCGCAACAGGCCTATTTCTTTGGGCCTCCTCAACAGTCCTACGCAGCTTCCTCTTCTCATGGATCGGAGTATGGTTCGACAATGACTCCAACTGAACTCGAAAATGCGTTCACAAAAATGAGTCTTCCCAATTACGATCCGTCATGGTACATGGATTCTGGAGCCACTTCCCACATGACAAATAATGCCGGTAATCTCTTACCCCTTTTTAAATTAAGCACATCTAATTATATTCAAGTGGGTAACGGTAAACGCATCAATTACGAGTTATGGTCATTCCACTATTGCTAATAAATCTCTTTCCTTGCGTGATGTTTACTTAGCTCCCCAAATTATCAAAAATTTAATTTCTGTTAGAAAGTTTACTTCCGATAATTCTGTGTCAATAGAGTTTGATCCTAATGGTTTTTCTGTGAAGGATCTACGAACGGGGAATCTAATAACCAGATGCAATAGTACCGGGGACCTTTATCCTGTGACCACAACACCGACAACATGTCTAGCCACTTCTCTCATAGCCTTGTCTCCATTCACGTGGCACAACCGCTTAGGACATCCAGGGGCACCCACCTTTAATTTTCTTAGAAGTAAAAATTTGATTGATTGTAATAAGGAGCACGACTCCACTATTTGCATTGATTGTCAATTAGGAAAACATACTCGCTTTCCTTTTCATAATACAAATAGCACTACTTATTCTGCTTTTGACATTATTCATGTTGATTTGTGGACTTCTCCTATTCGTAGCAATAAAGGTCACAAATATTATCTAGTTCTATTGGATGATTATACTCATTATGTGTGGACTATTCCTCTTGTATATAAGTCTCAAGCTTTTCAAACCTTTCTCAATTTTCGACAATATGTTCTAACCCAATTTGAACGTTCTATTAAATCTTTTCAAAGTGATCATGGTCGAGAATTTGACAATGACCCGTTCAAATTATTTTGTGTCAAAAATGGATTGGTTTTTCGCTTCTCTTGTCCTCACACATCTTCTCAAAATGGCAAAGCCAAACGCATGATTCGTACTCTTAACAATGTTAAGCGTACTCTATTGTTTCATGCATCACTTCCACCGGCCTTTTGGCATTATGCCTTAGAAACGACCACTTATCTCCTAAATATTATGCCTACCAAAACTCTCAATAAAATCACTCCGGCTCAAGCTTTATTTGGGGTTGTCCCGTCCTATACTCATCTTAGGGTCTTTGGGTGTCTTTGTTTCCCGAACTTATCAGCAACAATGCCTCATAAGCTTGCACCTCGCTCCACCCCATGTGTTTTCTAGGGCTATCCTCTCGATCATAGAGGCTATAGGTGTTTGGAGATCACCACCAATAAAATCATAATATCTCGTCATGTCACTTTTGATGAAAATACTCTTCCATTTACACATCTCACTAAGTTTCAATAGAATGACTATGATTTTCTAGCGTCGGATGACCCTTCACCAATCTTGCAACACCACATCCGTATGCAACCCATACCACGCACACCCAACCAGCCCACTCCACAGGCGGGTTGTGGCACTGCTCAGCAGGCCACAGGTGGGTTGCGGTCAACGACCCAGCCAGCACGCCACACAGAGCAGCCCACTCCACAAGCGGGTTGTGGCGCTGCTCCATCAGCTACAGCTGGGCTGCGGCCTTCACTACCATCCCCTCAAACGATCCGGTAGGCTACTTCCACAAACCACACATCTACGACCAAGCAACAACCCCAACAGCCCACTTCGCCAATTACCTCACACCACTCAAATCAGCCCAATAGCCCTTCTCCAAGCACCTCATCCACATACACACCACCCCCTTCGCGGCCTAACGCCAATTACTTTGACTAGACCACCGCCATTATCACCTCAAATGCAAACTCGGTCTAAGCACGGAATTTAAACCAAACCCGAAGTTCGGTCTATCCGCCATCATTCGTTCCCCGCTTCCAAAAAATCACAAACAAGCCTTTTCCGACCCAAATTGGAATGTTGCGATGCGTGATGAATATAATTCTTTAATTGAAACGGGGACATGGGATTTGGTTCCTAGGCCTGCGGGGGTGAACATTGTTAACTGTATGTGGTTATTTCGTCACAAAATGAATGCTAATGGTGATCTTGAAAGACACAAAGATCGATTAGTTTGTGATAGCAGGTCTCAGGTAGAAGGTGTTGATTGTGATGAAACCTTCAGTCCGGTTGTTAAACCGGCCACTATACTCACTGTTTTAAGTTTGGCTATGGATCGCCAGTGGTCTATTCACCAACTTGATGTGAAAAATTCCTTTTTGCATGGCGATCTGAATGAGTGTGTGTACATGCATCAACCTCCCGGGTTTGTTGACAAGCGGTTTCCGGGCCACGTTTGCAGGCTTTGCAAGGCTCTATATGGTTTAAATCAAGCTCCAAGGTCTTGGTATCAGCGGTTTGCTTACTTTCACTTGCAGATGGGGTTTGTCATTACTAAAAGTGACAATTCATTATTTATTTTCCGACATGGGAAAGACATGGCATATTTGCTATTATATGTTGATGATATTGTGTTGGTTACTTCTTCAAATCTGTTGCGTGACCGCATCATTTCTCACTTACGCACTGGATTTCCAATGACTAACTTAGGTCCTCTCAATTATTTTCTGGGCATTGCTGTTACTCGTACTCCTTCATATATGTTTTTGTCTTAGCAGAAATATGCACCGGAAATTCTAGAGCGCGCAGGCATAGCTAGTTGTAAACCTGCGGCGACTCCAGTGGATACTCAATCCAAGCTTAGTGCAGAGACAGGCCTTCAGTTTCATGATCCAACACTCTATCGTAGTCTTGCAGGTGCACTACAGTGCCTCACTTTCACTCGCCTTGACATAGCTTATGCAGTCCAACAGGTGTGTTTATTCATGCATGATCCCAGACAGGCTCATTATGATGCATTGAAACGCATTCTGCGTTACATTCAGGGCTCCATTGATCAAGGGTTACACTTATATCCTTCTTCATCCATGCATTTGATTATTTATACTGATGCAGATTAGGGCGGGTGTCCAGACACTCGTCGCTCGACCTCGGGTTAATGTTGCTTTCTAGGGGATAATCTCATTTCCTGGTCGTCTAAGCGTCAACCTACTCTTTCTAAATCTAGTGCAGAGGTTAAATATCGAGGCGTCGCTAACGTTGTTGCCGAGGCATTGTTGGCTTCGTAATCTACTTTTGGAGTTACACTGCCCTCTCCGGCAGGCCACTGTTGTTTATTGTGATAATGTCAGTGCAATTTATTTATCTCATAATCCAGTACAGCACCAACGCACCAAGCACATTGAAATGGACATTCATTTCGTTCGTGAGAAGGTGGCGTTGGGACATGTACGGGTCTTGCACGTTCCATCTCGTTATCAGTTTGCAGACATTTTCACGAAAGGCCTCCCTCGACAACTATTTTTGGAGTTTAGATCCAGTCTCAGCGTCCGTCCTCCTCCCGCTATGACTGCGGGGGGTATGATAGAATATGATAAATATTCTAGATATTATCTTGTATAAAAAGATATAGTTTTGTGAATATTCTGTAGATATCTTTTGAGATTTCCTATGATAATAGGACTCATGGTTGTAACCCCATATATATGAATCAATGGAATACACTCCAACGAAAGGGAGTTTACATTATCTAACAATCTTCTTAATTACCATAAATATCTCACACCAAAAAGTTATCATCACTAGTTTTTTCAAAACAAGTGTTTTGGATTCAAAATTCTCTTTCAATCGTCTTCAAGATTCTCAACCAAACACTAACATTAGAGATTTGAGTTAGTCAAACCTCTCTTTTTGCCCTAAATTTCTTCTGACCAACCCTTGCATGTTTTTTTTCCTTAATTACATATCACCAAATACAGCCAAAGTAGGGTGTGTAAATATTGTTAAATGCTAAAATGTTGCATCTAAAATAAATACATAGATAGTAATGTCAATTACTTCCGACATTTTTCATTTCTTCCGTTGGCTTTGACCTAATGGATTGACCCTAATGCAATCCACTTTGACTTATTTCACATTTTAAGACTCGATCGGATTATATTGGCCATCAAACATATCATCATAATAACAAATACGAAAAAATTAAGAGTTAAAAAATGAAAAAATTCGAATATATCTTTAAGTTAAAAAATTAATTTAGAGTTTTATTTTGATGAACTTCAAATATTCATAATAATAACTAGGATACTCAATCTACCCCCCTTTTTTTTAAACATACTCAATCTATCTTTGTCTCTTAAAAGTTGTAGCATTATTAATTGTTTTCAAGCTTGCCAATGTGAAAATTGTGATCATCAAAATATATGATTATATATTAGAAATAAAGAATTGTTAAAAGTTGACCATATTCAAATGTACGCAAGCAATTAGATTAAAAACAACAATAGTTACTATTTCCATTGAATATTAGGTAGCCATACAAAAATCAAGCAAAAGTAAGGATTAATGAGATAAATTGATGAATAAAATTAAAATGAGCATTTCTTGTAAAGGTACTCTCTATGCCTTTTTTTATTCATCAGTTCATAATCAACCGTTGCAAACTCTTTAAAATGGAAATATCCCACACTATTTTATTATATCTCTTACCTTACATGGTCCCACTTTTACCCACTTGCATTTTTAAAATATTTATCTTCTCACATTCTTTACTTTTGTCATCGCTCGATCCCTTATGTAAACTAATTCGCCCACTATCACTTTTTTTTTTTTCAATTCTCTAACAAATCCTATTTACACAATTTTTAACAAATTCAACTCAATCACATAAATTTTTATGTCGATTAAAGTGTTGCAATTAAAAAAAAGAAAAGACATGCCGTATGACTATTTTAAATTTTTTTATTATTTCTCCCCGTAAAAAAAAGGGAATAATACACTACATAGTAAAGTAATAGTATAAAAAAAAAGGGAATAATACACTACAGAGTAGAGTAGAGTAATGTAGTACGAATAGTATTAATTAAGAGGGTAGTATAATTTAAAAAGAGTAATAATTTAAAATTAGTTCAAATGTAATCATCAAATGTACTATGCTAACATAAATGCAATGCTCAAAACGGCAGAGCTAAACCTAGAAAGAGTAGGGTAAAATGTAAAAAAGAGTGTTTAAAAAAAAAAAAAAAAAAAAAAAATTGTTGAAAAGAGGTATAAGCAAAATAAAAAGTGAGGTAGTAAAATATAGCAAAAGTAGGCTACAACTCGTGGTTTAGAAAGCTCAATTTATTTTGCCGACATATAGAGCTAAGCCAACGTTTAAGCTCAATTTATTTATGTTTTTTACTCTAATATTTTAACTCACTCTTTTAAACTTTTCTTTAATTTATTTTTGGTTCACTGATAAAATTAAAAATACCCTTAATTTTTCTTAGATGCTTTTTCTTTCTTTACTCACCTTTTTTTCAAACTCTTTAAAATGATTATCTTGTGTTATGCCTTTTTGTTTATATCGTACGGTTTTCTATGGCGATTCATGTTAGACGACCCCAAATCATTTTGAGACTAAGACTATATTATTGTTGTAGTAGTATTGAGCTAAGCCATAGTATATAGTTGTAGTAATCGGTTACACTTTGTATGGATTGAAGGAAATGGAGGAAAATGAAGGGAAGGGATGAAATGGAGGGATTGATTATCTTTCATTTGGATAATAAATGGGGAAGGAAAGGAATTAGAGGGGATACAAATGGAAGGATTAAATTGTAAGAAATTAATCTCTCCATCAATGGAGAGATTTGGAAGGAAAAGTCATCTTTCTTTCCTCCCCTTATTTTCTTTCCCATTTTTTTTTATCCAAACACACCGTTAAACTAAAACCAGTTTTCAAAAAACAAAATTAGATCATAGATAAAATTCGTTAAAAGAAAAGGTTAATTTGGACTAGGCCATAAATGGGCCTATCGATCAAAAATTTTGGGCCAAACTTAAGATGCATGATATAGGCCCTAAACCCACAACAATAAATATAATGTCCAACAAATGAGGACAAAAATGTAGAGCAAATTTATTGATTGACACTATGTTTGGATTGAAGGAAATGAAGGGAAAAGAAGGGAAGAGAAATGGAGGGATGAATTATCTTTTATTTGGATAACAAATGAGGAAAGAACGGAATTGGAGGGGAGAGAAATGGAGGGATTAAATTGTAAGAAATTGATCTCTCTAACAATGAATAGATTTGGAAGGAAAACTCATCTTTCTTCCATCCCCTCCCTTTCTTTTCCCTCCCCTTCTTTTCTTTACCATTTCTTTATCCAAACGCACCATAAATGAGTCAAAGCCGTCAAAGGAAGACATGAACGACAAATTGAGTCAACTGATTTATAATACGGTACTTTTTTAAGTTACGTTATTGTTCTTTAAAATGCAGCTAATGGAGTCGACAATCAATATCTTCAAGCACCAATAATAAAAAATTATGAAAAGTTAATATATTGAAAGCATATAGACAGCTGAATGTAACACATTTTCACATGATTATGGCTTTGTTTGACAAATTAAGGTTAGTAGTTTATGGTTTGACTAGCTGATTGCATGAGCCGATTTAATTGACTAATCTGCTTGTACATATTATTAATTTGTTTGTGTAAATGTTCTTAGTAAGTAGATATCAACAGATACTTATTATTTTATTGTGTAATATGAGTCTATGACCAATAAGATTATAAGTATAATGTATTATTACCTTGAACAAAATTGGTAGAGGACTAAAGGTAGTACATTTGATCAACTTTATGATAGAAGAGTCGTCTTCTTAATTATCATAAATATTTCTCACCAAAAAGTTATCATCACTAGTTTTTTCAAAACAAGCCTTTTGGATTCAAAATTCTCTCTCAATCGTCTTCAAGATTCTTAACCAAACACTAACATTAGAGATTTGAGTTAGTCAAATCTCTCTTTTTGCCCCCAATTTCTTCTGACCACTTGCATGTCTTTTTTTTCCTTAATTACATATCATCAAATACAGCCAAAGTAGGGTGTGTAAATATCGTTAAATGCTAAAATGTTGCATCCAAAATAAATACATAGAAAGTTTTGTCAATTACTTACGATATTTTTCATTTCTACGGTTGGCTTTGACCTAATTGATTGACCCTAATGCAATCCGCTTTGACTTATTTCACATTTTAAGACTCGATCGGATTATATTGGCCATCAAACATATCATCATAATAACAAATACGAAAAAATTAAGAGTTAAAAAATTAAATTAAAAAGTTCGGATATATCTTTAAGTTAACAAATTAATTTAGTGTTTTATTTTGATGAACTTCAAATATTCATAATAATAACTAGGATACTCAATCTACCTTTTTTTTTTTTTTTTTTTTGAAACATACTCAATCTACCTTTGTCTCTTAAAAGTTGTAGCATTATTGTTTTCAAGCTTGCCAATGTAAAAATTGTGATCATCAAAATATATGATTATATATTAGAAATAAAGAATTGTTAAAAGTTGACCATATTCAAATGTACGCAAGCAATTAGATTAAAAACAACAATAATTACTATTTCCATTGAATATTAGGTAGCCATACAAAAATCAAGCAAAAGTAAGGATAAATGAAAAAAATCGGTGAATAAAATTAAAATGTGCATTTCTTGTAAAGGTACTCTCTATGTTTTATTTATTCATCAGTTCATAATAAACAGTTGCAAACTCTTTAAAATGGAAATATCCCACACTATTTTATTATATCTCTTACCTTACATGGTCCCACTTTTACCCACTTGCATTTTTAAAATATTTATCTTCTCACATTCTTTACTTTTGTCATTGCTCGATCACTTATGTAAACTAATTCGCCCACTATCACTTTTTTTTTTTTTTTCAATTTTCTAACAAATCCTATTTACACAATTTTTAACAAATTCAACTCAATCACATAAATTTTTATGTCGATTAAAGTGTTGCAATTAAAAAAAAAAAAGGACATGCCGTATGACTATTTATTAATTATTTTATTATTTGTTCCCGTAAAAACAAAAAGGGAATAATACAATACAGAGTAGAGTAGTAGTAAAAAAAAAAAAAAAGGGAATAATACACTACAAAGTAGAGTAAAGTAAAAAAAAAAAAAAGGGGAATAATACACTACAAAGTTGAGTAGAGTAGAGTAGTGTAGTATGAATAGTATTAATTAAGAGGGTAGTATAATTTAAAAAGAGTAATAATTTAAAATTAGTTCAAATGTAATCATCAAATGTACTATGCTAACATAAATGCAATGCTTAAAACGGCAGAGCTAAACCTAGAAAGAGTAGGGTAAAATGTTAAAAAGAGTGTTTCAAAAAAAAAAAAAAAAATTGTTAAAAAGAGGTAAAAACAAAATAAAAAGTGAGGTAGTAAAATATAGCAATGTCGGCTGTGAACGTAGCAACCTCGGAACCCACCCTAACAACCTTTGTATGCATTATTTCTTTTACCATCCCACGTTAAACGGTAAAAGCCATACAATCTGGAATATTAATACTCTATAAGTACCTCATAAAATCAATTTCGAAGAATGCAAAAGATCATAGTAAAAATTATTGGAAATATTATATTCCTTATGTCCCCTTTAGTTGTTTTACCTTATAAAGGGCTATAAGTCATATTTATTATGAGTGTTCATTTTACAAGTCTAAAAAGGTTCCACCTTAAAACCATATGATAATGAGAGGAGTAACCCATTAACCTTATAAAATGGACATATCTTTTTTAATTCTTCAATGTGAGATACACTTTTCAACACTTTACACTCTTTTAATGTTAAACAACACTTTTCACTCGCATGTGGATTTGTTCAAAAGCTCAACACTTCCTCTCATATGTGTGTTGTCCATAATATTGACACAGATGACAACTAAACCCAACCCGAACTCTAATACCATGATAAACAGGTCTAGGCCGCACTATCTAAATATTTTTATAAAGCTGAAGGGAGTACTACATTATCTATAGTATTCTGTACTACTAGCTACAAGATATTCTGTATCTTATATTTTTTTTGACTTTTTAACAGAGAGAGAAGAGATGCCCAGAATCAGATATTATACCTGCTAAATGACGGTCCAAAAATGATGAAAAGAAGATCGTATAATATACTCATGTACTCGTATAATTTACATGCAAATATGACCTTCTTATGAAAATATAGAAGGCAATATATAACAGAATAAAGAGGATAAATAAAAAATAATGTTAAGAGATCTGCACTTTATAAAATATATACCTGCTAGAAGTGCTAGGGATATTTAAATTAACAGCCGACATGCTATGCTATGTCGTGAGGTGAGACCATATGATTATAACAATTATAATAATAATAATCTCACTCTAATTATAAAATATGATAATAATGTTGATTGCTTCATGAAAATGGAAGATCCACTTCATTGTGCTGTTGCTGTGTTACGATCATCAACAGGGCTAATAAATAATTACCACGTACTGTTAATTAATATTGAACCTCCAAGCTAATTAAGTGTACTTGTACTGCATCCTCATCATCGTGTGATCCATGCAATTACAAACAACCTGCTAATCACAACCAAAAAACATGCATACCTTGATTAGTGTTTATATTTTGAATTACCTGAGCTAGCTCGTACGTACATGTATTTCACTCACCTGTCTCCTAAACATTGCTCCATTTTTCTTTTTGGGTCGTCCGCTAAAGATTACTTATTTTCTTTTTGTTAACATGGTACATTGGTATAGTTCCCAAATATTCTTTCTACTTTAATCAACATCTCATATGTTAAAGGACAAATCTACTAACCCATTTAGTACAAATATTTATAAGGTGAAAAATGAAGATGGAGTAATCTTTAAGAGATGAAGGGAGTGTGAAATATAGAGTACAGATACACCCATTTTTGCAAAAAGTATGATATAAGGAATTATAAATTCACCAGGGTGTGTTATTCTTCCCATAAGGAAAAAAAACCCTAATATATGGATTATGAATCCAATTATTGAACTGGTAACTCCACAGAAATTATTACACGGTTACTATATCTATATTACACGAAAGGTAGACCAATGAAGAATTTCACAAAATTCAGCAACAATGGAAGAGAATATCTCTAATTTAAATATAAAGATGCACTTGATGACCAATTGTGACTTTTTAAGACAAGGAATAAACAACAACAATATAAGGGAGCAGGGGTTAGTATATATATATATATATATTCTACTAAAATATGTACTTCCTTCATTTCTTTATAGTTGTAATGCACACTTTTATCACGGTATTTATGGAAAGTGGATCTCACATGACATAATACACTTAAAATGGGGTTAATAGGTTAATAGAAATATAATTAAGTGGACTATGCATGAGTTATAAATAGAGGTAATAGTACAATTTTCACCACCTAGTTTTATTAAGACATAATATATTTCATTAACCATCAATATATCATTTTAAGCCTTTGTAAACATTAAAAACATTTATATACAAAGATCATATTTAATCATATTATATCTTATTTATAAATAGCAAATGACAAATTAATTAGCTTAGGGAAATAAGGAAAAAAAAAAAGGATCATCTAAAAGATTAGCAATGGGTAACCTAACGCTAGCATTTAACATTATAAAGAAGAATATTAAAAATAATTTTAATATTACTGATTGAGTAGTGAAAAAGTATTCAATAATGACGAAGTCCATCAACACCAGGGATTTTATTTTTTTTAAAAAAGGAAAAAGTATTAGTCTTTGTCGCTAATGAGGCTTGATTCTAGGATCAAAAATCCCTAACAATGGGTTTCAAACCATTGTGGCAGACATTAGATACATATAAATGTGCTATAAGAATAGTATTTATACTAAAAATACCTAGGGGTCAACAATAAATTACTAAGCCGCGAAATTGAGTCATGGGAGTCGGGCCTCCACCCGCCCCCCATGTGACTCCACCTTGTGAGGGAGATAAAATATAAAACTATTATGTTCAATCGCATATTACTTATACCGATCAATACATTAGTTTATCACGCATTTCTAAATTAATTCGTAATAACATAAAAAGAAAGAAAGAATACGTAAAAAAGTTAGAGAATATATAGCTGTCCATGCATGCATATGCTAATGGTAACTAATTCATTCAATCCATGTAATCATCATGTAAATAAAAATTCACTTGTGATGGAAAACAAAAAGTGCAAGATTTATGATATAAGAACGTGAACGAAAAGGAGTTTCTAGATTACAATTCTATGTAATAAAAAAATTAGCAATGGGAAGGAAAAGTAGGTGGGATAATATAATGGAGTACTGCAGATATAGTCACCCAAAAGTTGTGGTGGAAAAAAGCAAATTAAATCTCATGGAAAGGTGACTAGTCAATGGAGCTTTGGTGCAATAAATCTTGGAACTAATCTTCCAACCATTATCCAAAGTAGTCCTTTTTTAAGCCCCCTTTTATTTAAGTAGACTGCTTTTTCAGCGCAATGAAGGGCCAACTAGTATAACAATTGAATTTGAAACCTTGAACTTGGACCAAGTATGTAGAATTGTACATCATTTCAAATCTAAATAAATATCCCATCTTAAACTGTGAGACATAAAATATGATCTACAAGCGCATTCTATTAAGAATCTATATCGTACCTTTGATATATGTACAGTGTATCCACTAATATATATAACGTGGTACAATATTTATATGCATCGGTCAGACATCAACATAAGAGCTGTATGCACATAAATTGATTGCATCTTTGACAACAAATGTTATAATACATCTACTAACGTATTCCACTAATAAGAATCTATATCATACCTCCCTCCATCCCTCCCGGAATATATTTTGTATAGTGTATCCATTATTATAATACGAGTGATACTATTCTAGGTACATGCATCGGTCATACATCACTACATCAGCTATGAGGTGCATGCACTCCGTAGTTAGTGTGTGTCCAACATCTTGATAGATAGATTGTAGAGATATCTTTTTCCAAATAGTTGCATATGTTTTTTTTTGGTTTTTAGCAGAACTACGAACATAGATAAAAAAATACCTATATTCTTTAGGGGCTAATTGGTGACTTGCCGACTACTTGTTGTACCAAATCAAAACATAACTCTCACTCTCTCGGTGAATCTATTTCTAATGCCAAATTACATAATTAAAAAAACTACACCTAAATTGTGGGTGAATGTTGTTTGGTGGGAATATGTGCGAAATGGGTTCTTAATACGGTCAACCTAAATAATTTTTTTCAAACAAAGTTTGTAAGCATAAAAGCCACAAAAACAGGGAGGTAGGCAAATAGAAAAGACAAAGAAAATCTTGATTGACTTGATATACCGATCTTCATAGCCAAGAAAAAAATAAATTATATAGTATAATAAAATACATTACTAGTCCATATATAGTATATTTTATATATATCATGGTGCATGGCCCCGAGGAAACAAACTAACAGTTGACATCACAAACTATAGGTTAAGTTTGCCCTACCATAATATTATTGGTCTATTGTTAACCAATTGATAATTGATCATCTCACTATTTCAATAGTATCATTTCATAAATTATAGGAGTATTATAGGAGTACGTTGTTTCTTGATTTGATGTATTCATTTGCTAGGGACATATGATATGGATAATAAGCTACAAACTTAATAAAAAGAATCCTAGGATATTACATAATTTCTCTAAAATAATCTCTTTTTTTATACAATACTAACTTAATCATAATTACTTACTTACAATTACAAATAATTGATTTTCCCCACTTGATTTTATAGTTGAATTTGATCATGGTCAATCTTTAACAAGATATATTGATAAAACATTCAAAAATAATATTGTAGTGGGAATGAATAAACGATGTAATCTAATACTTGTACCTCATAGTAATATACTCTCTCCGTTCCTGAAAGTTCGACTCACTTTGTAATTGTGCGGTCTCCAATGAACATCTTTGACCATGAATAACTCCGGTTGTGTATAAGTGAAATTTGTAAAAAGTTGATATTTGGATTATTTATAATAAGGGGAATCTAATATAATCTCACATGCTAATTTATTTATATTGTATAACTCATAAAATGTGATCAAAGTTATTTTATTTTGATCACATGAATAGTAAGTGAGTCGAACTTTTAGAAACGGAGGTAGTATTATATTTTCATTTTTTCAAGGTTGAAGATTTTCCATGGAATTATTGGTTGTCAAGAATATACCAAATTATATTAAATTGTTGATGTAGAGAGTGCTAAAAGGCATATATATGATATAGACATATAACACAAAAGTTCGATATATATACTAGGTGTTAACCCTTGAATATCAACCTTAGCTTGTAATTTCAACCAACTAAACAAATTTACATCCTCATATCACCCCACAATTTAAGCATATCTTCCTTAGCAGTACACTAAAACATACAAAAGTTAAATTGAAATATATATATATATATATATATATATATATATATATATATATATATATATATATATATATATATATATATATATATATATATATATATATATATATATATATATATATATATATATATATATACTTCATTTTCAATGTACTAGTATATATTATTGATGTATAAGTCAAAGTTTGAAAAAAAAAAAGTAGCAGGAGCACTTCTTCCTAACATTTGACTGCAAGATGGAAAGAATATAATTTGTTTTAAATTAGCCTTTTTATCATCAAACCATTATCTACTCCTAGGCGTGCCACAAATAATTCATTACATTATATACTCTATGCTAGTTACCATACCATAACCATGAACAATAGAGCTAAAGTTTTTCTAGTAGCTTAGCTTTTTTGTTGGTGTAAGGAATATGGTAATGTATGAAATTCAGAATTAAGCTAAGCAAATAAAATTACAGCAAAAAAGATAAACAGTTGCATTTTCTATTAGCTAGCTTGAAGCAAATCTTTACCAAAGGTCCAATTTCAAGTAAATAATAGATTCTCTTAGCATGGTTTGCCAACTCTTTATTACAGCTACGTTTTTTCTTGAAAAAATTATTTTATTAATCAACGACTCCTATACTGGAAAAAGTCTTAGCAGCAAAATATGCCCCCTAATAGAAAGAGGGAAAAGCACCACTAATGTGGAGCGGTCTCCTAAACAAGTTAGGATACTGTTGATATAGGACGAGCCTTTTCGGCTCAGTCTACAAGTTAGAAAGCCAATGCACTTACATGAATTAAAAAAACCTATATATTTCAAAGTCCAAAAAATAAACTAATATTGCTTCCCTAGATAAGCATGATGGTGCTATAGCTAAATGATAAATTAGCCCAATTTGACTTCAATTATGTTGGCATAAGCTATATATTGTGATCACATAATATCAATTTTGTAAATAACTAAAGTTTGATTGCATTCCAAATCATAATTTGCAAACAAAATAGTGCAATAATATACATACCATATATATGTTGCATTGTTAGTCTCCAACTCAAGGATTTCGCATTCCAGGAGGCACAATATCCCCTAGCAATCCCTCACCACTACTAAGAGGCGGCATTTGTTGAGAAACCGATGAAGGTGAATCCGTGGTGTCGCTGGGAGCTGGTTGTTGATGGTGAGCCTGCTGCACTGTAGCACTACTAATTGAAGCTTGTGCAATGCTTCTAGTAACTGAATTGTCATGTGAAAATTGCATTCCTTGATAGAGGAACCGCGATTGATGATGAGGCGACATAGGAGGTGCAAAGTGCCCAAGAAAGGCACCTTCATGGCTAAGAAATCCACTACTTCTTGGAAATCCAATTGTATGATGACAATGTTGTCCTTCATAAGTTGTGATCACTATGCTAGGATCTTCCGAGGAGCGTTCCACCCTTTTCTTAACGGTGCATTTGCTGTTTGTGCACCGATAATAGCTCCTGCAACAATCCAAACAAGAAGACATAGTCTGTAATTAATTAGCTCCTTTTGCTATGGTCAAATTTAACACACTTTTAACAACATTTCACCTAACTTTTTAGGCTATCGTCACAAGACATAGAAAACTTGTAGATCATTGGCAATGTCTAGTATGATTCCGAGACTACAAATACATCACAATTCACAATAACATACACAAGACTAGTTACGCGGTTGAGAAATTTATATATATATAACGAATAATTTTTATTTATTTATTTATTAACTCCAAATGTTACTCATCAATCAAATTAGTGTGACACTGTCTCAACCAAAGCTTGCTCAAAATCAATGCGTATAAACACTATTGTAACGAATCTATATGTTGATTATATGCCTATTGATTGCATATATAATTAAGATGAATATGATTCTGGGATATAACGAATCGAACAACTAAGTTCGAGCCAGCCATATAGCAATCAAATTTGCTGCTGGACAAGGAAGATAATTCTTTCCAGATTGGCAAATATACATAAAGCATCTTAGAAAGTTCTTCTCTGAGAATGTTGAATTGAAGAGAGGAAGTAGTTTAGAGCATATATTCTTAACTAGATATACAAATATACTCATAAGAGTGATACTGATCATTTTTTTTTTTAATGAGAGAAACAAATTCTATAAAATTACAAATAGGAGTATTTTGTTTTTTTCTTCTTAGGTACATTATTGTGACTCCATTTGGCCTAAAAATTGAGTATATATTTTTTTCATTTTAAAATAAACACTGTAAAAAATATTCAAATTTTTGTTAAAATTGCTACTTGCTAGCAAATGGGAATATACCAACAAAATGTGTGAATCTAATAATTGAGCACATTCAACATCATGGATTACTCCGTATATATATACTCTATATAGTATATATATTAATGCTCGAGTAGTAATGATTAACAATAAAAAAATGAGAACAAAAGAAAGAAGAAATTTCTCAAATTGGGATATTTAAAGATGTATTTTACATACAACTAAGACATTACACCTGACTTGCACCTAAACTAAATTCGATTCCAATTAAGCTTTGTAAAACCAATCAACAAACTTTTTTTTCCTAATTTATTTTCTAAGGATAAGGTTGTTCTCTCCCTAACTAGAATCTAGGAAAATGTATAAAAATACCATTACCAACACCACATACATGTAGATAACAAAAAATACAGTCTTAAAATAGTCTTAAATTCTATTTAGATCATACGTACCAACGCCTGAACTATATAGACATGTGCAAGATGCTCATTGTGCGTGCACCAAAAAGATGCAAGTATATCATAATGATCTAATTTGCGAATAATATTAGCAACATTAAATCATAATAGATTACTAGTTTGGACAAATAATTTAGTGGCCGGGCAAAATTATTGCCTTGAGTTCTTATTATAATCTTCCAATTAAATTAGACAAATACTCCCTTTGTCTAGAATTAGTCTTTGAAAATAAAAGAGAAGGTAAATGAAGGAGATAGTATATACATAGCATGTATATGATGCTGAATCAAATTAAGACTAAGGAATTTGAGTTTGTTCTTGTAATAACTCATGCTTGAATGACTTTTTTTGAGTCACATTATTGAGATAGATATTATAATTGAAATAATGTATTAGTAGATGAACCTGGGAAATGGACTGTTTTTAACAGCCTTCTGGCCATATTTTCTCCATCTATAGCCGTCTTCAAGATGATCAACTTCACTCTTGGTCATGAATGCAAATCGCGGTTGTCTTATCCTCTTTTGCCCCTTTTTCTTCACCTTCGTCCTGGTACAATAATTTACATACATGATCATCAGTAACTAGACTAGCTATATATTAAAAGCATGAACTACATGGTTATATAAAATTAAAATCATTCAAATATAAACATCTACAAACTTGAACTCTAGCTTACGTACAATAAAGCATACCAGCCTACACACCCAATGAAAAAAAATATATGCAAGAAGACCATACTCATCTTTTTAAAAGCATACCTTTGTATTTATAATATGTGTATTGAAGAAGTTTTAGTTGTTTAATCAACTTCTTAAAAAGGAATTCTTACTTTGTATCTGTCTTAGGTCCAAATTTTTATTTAAAGGCTGACTTAGTTAGGTCCAAAAACTTTTAGCATTGCATTGCTTTTAGTATGTGGCTCATTGTGAATTCATATACCCCTCCAAGGCTCCACCTCCACCTCTCCTACACAAGCACAAGCACACGCGCACACACACGCAAAGTTCAGAAGTTTCATGTTCCTCCCCCCCCCCCCTTCCTTATTAGACAAAGTAATAGAGGCAGATACTAATCAGCATTGCACTAGCAACTAACATCGTGATAGCAATGCAAAACATTAGATATAATTCAATATATAAATGAAATCGTCGTGATGTTTGTGGCAAAGACTTAAGTAGGAGGAAACTATAGTGTAGTGTTAAAAGTGAAGATATGCATCATCAAGTGGTAAAAAAAAGTTAGAGAGGGCGGTGCCTAGGGTGGCTGATCTTTCGATGAATAAAGAAACAAGGTGGAAGTTAAATTATGACTGATCAGAAAGCTACTTTGATTGATCCTAATACTTTATTTACCAAAAATATATGATCACAATACATCTTTTATGTATAGAATTGTAGAAGTCTTGAAGTTATTAGTGGCTATAACAACAAAACTCTTAGAAATCAAAGAAGAAAAAAAATCGACGAAGCCACCTAGTTACATTATCTTGGACAACATGCTAGTTACGGTAACACCACCTGACCATGTTACTCACCCATACCCAATCAAAAATAGACACTTCAGGTAACACCACATCAGCAATGTTATCGTAACAAAAAATAAATTACTGCATGTAGTCATAAGAATCCCTCTAATGTTTGATTTAATTTTCTGGAAAGAGAACAGCTATAAGGCTTAGCTATCAAATTTCAATCATCTTTCAAAAAAAGAAAAACAAATTCAGAGAAGAAGAGTTAATAAATGCTGAATACATTCTAAAGCAAGCTATTTGAATGATTAGGTAATTAATTAACAACGACCAAGCTAGTAATCTATTTGGTCTAATAAATCCAAAGCAAGAATCTAATCTCAAAAATCTTGTTTTGGCTAATATTATGGACCCCATACATATATAAATATACATACAAGTGACACAAGCTAAGCAAAATTAACAACCCACTGCCTAAAAATTAATTAAGAGAGACCACATACACATTACACATACACCCACCAAACACTAGCATATATATTAGCATGATTAAACATTAAACATTGATTAAATTCCAACGCCCGCCTTTCTTACACTACTCCTCATAATACAAATACATTCGTATTCATATCATATCATATCATATCATTATCAAAGTACGATTACACTCATATTATACCACCCATGTGATCACCTTCATAAAATCGAAATGATTCTTTCATTATATATCTATACCATCCATTTAATTCCCCACGAGTTGCGAACCAACTTGCAGAATTTTATGCACCGCATTATATAATTATATATCAAATTGATTAAATAAAAAAAGGAAGGATTTATTCTGTGTTTAGTACTTTACTATACTCTATTTTCAATAAAAAAAAAAAAAAAAAAAAAATGGAGGAAGCCTGTTACCCACGCCATTCCCGCCGCAATGACGGCGGGGTAACTTTCTCTCTTCACCAATTAATTTTTATTTATTTATTTTTAATTATTTTTTACCTTAATATGATCGATCCCAAAAAAGCCCCTAAATTTTAGTGTATTCACTTTACCCGACCCCATGACTTCACCTCCAATGAAAAGAATTTTTATTTATTTATTTTTACCAAAAAAAGAAATGATAAAATTAATCAAATTATTGTAATAAGAAGAGAAAAAAAAAATAGTGAGTGGTGTACGGTGATCGCCACTCACGAAGTGTCAGCTACTGCTGCTGCTGATGCCGGCGCTTTACCGATGTTTTTATCGGCGAGATCTTCGGATGAGCTCGAGGATGCCGACGGATTCGGTGGCATGATGTCGGAGTTTTGATCACCTAGTAATAGATGAGACTCATGACTACTACTACCACTTGCTGTTGCTGCTGCTGCTGCTGTTGTTGTCGGAGGATCGGACGGTTGGTAACCTTCGACGTCAGCTGATAAGTCGGATGAGTTATACGACCAGGTGAAGTCGGGTATTATGTGGGTGTTATGCAAGTCGTTGTCGTCTCTGTTGAAGAAAAAGTTCGAGTCTGAGGAGGGTAATGATGACCAGTTTGAGTCATCGGGTTTGTTGGAGTCCGAGTCCATAAGTGATGGACTCGGATTGGGATTTTATGGAGATAGCTCGAACACTAATAATTTTGGGATTTTTTTTTTTTAAAGAGGAGAGAGGGGAATTTAGGGTTTGGGAAAGGGGGGAAAGATGAGAGAAAGGGAGGAACGCGTAGAGAGGGAACTTTTAGGAGAGAGAAGGGTGGGTGATGTGAATTGTGAGTGAGTCAAGTCAAATTAGAGAGAAATGAAATTAAAAATATGGAATTGGGTGGGGAATGGCCGAATGGTGGAAAGAAAAAAGGAAGGAAAATAAAATGAAAAGAAAAGTGTCACCTTCAAATACACTAATTTATTTTTCCCTTTTTCGTTTAGGCGCCTCCCTCCCCCACTCGCACCTTCCCTCTTCTTATAATTAAGGGATCATACTCGTATTTAATAAGGTACTCTTTCTGTCTTTATGAGTTCTTATTTAAATAGTGATTATTTCATCAAAAAAAAGTTAAAAGTAGAGAAAAAAATGAAAAATTATACCTTTATTTGAGGTGAAACGCCAATTATATCCTCATTGAACACAAAACTCTACCACAATAAAATATGTCTATTGGTCATTTCGTATACTCAAACCGCCTTTATGCAATCAGTTACGAAGTATTTATCAAACACTTTTATACAATCAGCTAACACAATCAATTAGTCAAATCAATTAGCTAATCAAATCAGTTAATATAATCAACTAGTCAAAATCTAATACGGAGCAACACAATCACAACTTTAACCTTCAGCTTTCCCGAACAAGACCGAAATTTTTATTTAATTAGATACACAAACTTTGAGAGAAATAAGGTTTTTATATTATTTAGGGACAAAAGAATGTACATTTTTCATTTTTTATTAAAACACATTCCTTTCATTTCAAGTATTACTTATATATATATTTGTACTTATTTTTTCTTAACTTACGAAATATGAGTTTAATTTAATTGTGGTTTGAATTTGGATAGCTTTTAATTTCCTTGAATTTTCTTATTTGAACTCATTTTCTTTCAAAAAAAAAAAAAAAAAAAAAAAACAAGGTGAGGAGTATCAAATCTAGATGTATTGTTAGATTCCTACTGTTGAGGACTTTTGAGTTAATTTAATAGATATTGTCTATAACAAAAAACTGTGGTACAGTACCTCAGTCTCAGTGTCTCACACACAAAAATGGGGCTGAATATGATAAAAAGACAATTTGACTTTATATAGGATCATGTATTAATTAAAGAAAAGGCAACAAAAGTCATTAAAAATGTATAAATTTATCCTTATAGTGATGTATGAAAAGGTTATACAAAAATCTTGGATCATTAAATAATTTCAAAACCAATTCTCCTCATAACATTTGTTTGGCCTAAGTGCATGTCTTACAAGAGACCAACTTAAAAATGAGAGAATAGCTATACATTCATCATTCATGTTAGTTGAAAAAAAAAAGAAGAGATTCATTAAGACCTTTAAAAAAAATGAAATAAAGAAAAAGATGCACAATATCCACAAAGAATGACTACTATTGCATTCTAATTAGTTGTTGCATTAGACCGATGCAATTGCTTTCTAAATAGGGATGTCAATGGGGCAGGTCGGGGTGGATGTTGGATTTCCCATCCCCATCCGCACCTAAAATTTTCATCCCCATCTCCGTGATGGCTCCAAAATTCATCCCCATCCCCGCCCCGACGGGTACAATTCCAAAACCATCCCCTCCCCACCCCCACTTGGATATCCACTTCCACCTAATCTCCACCCAAGACCTGCCTAATCCCCGCTTCACATATACACAATCCTACATAATTAATATAGCATACAATTTTATTTTATTTTATTTTTAAAAAAATCAATGTCAATATTACACACCTTTTTGTTTTAATATAAGTGTATTACAAAGTATTATATTTACTGTTTTATATAAATTTTTTTATAAAATAGTATAAAAATATATAATTTTGTTTTAAAAATTATATATATGTGGGTATGAGGTGGGGATGGGACGGGTATAAAGTGGGGCGGGGTGGGGATGGGGCGGGTACAACTTAAAATCTACCCCCGCCCCATCACCCATGATGGGTATGGTTTTCATCCCCATCCCCGCCCCACCACCCACCAAACCGAGACCCATCTCCGCCCCATTGGGGCGGGATGGGGCGAGTCTTCTATTTGACCCGCCCCACTGACATCCATATTCCTAAAACAGTAGTACTTACGTGACATATAACGAGATAGGTTTTAATCACCATTCAATATATAACGAGATAGGTTTTAATCACCATTCAATTCATATTTCTATTCTCACTTTAAAAAAAGCAAAAGTGTTTGTGAGGTTAATATTAAATATATCTAGCTTATTTCAAATGAAAAGCTAACGAACGTTCTGAGGGCGTTGGTAGAATTATTAAATTAAAATGAACATTAATTACATTGATCGACGCGTGATTTGTCATATATTTTCGAATTAATACCACTTTAGGTAATATTTTAAATGCTTATATAATGCCCTAAAAACGTTCGTTAGCAATATTTTAAGGTAATACGGAGCATAAAATACAAAATAGATGAGCACTCGAGGAGTGGCGTAAGAAGGTTGGGAGGGCACGCTCTTAGAAAAGGAGCCAAACGTGTTCACATGCACAACTTACTATACAAAATAATCCTCTTATCTTACACTATAATAGACTGTCAAATGGATCGTTCGGTTCGGGAATGGGTTGGGTTAATTTTGGGTCGGGTTATTTCGGGTCAATTAACATTCGGGTCGGGTCATTCGGGTTTCGGGTGTAGTTCGGGTCGAGTTAATTTCGGGTCGGATATGTTGGGGTCGGGTCATTTTCGGGTCGGGTCAAAATCAGGACGTGTTTGGGTTGTTCCATTTGTGGATCAAGCTCAAATCAATAATTTTATATTTTGTCATTGTTATAATAAGAACGAATTCTGGCTACGATTGAAGATGAACAATTTGACTTATTTTGGCACCAGAAATTTTTAGTTCAATTATAAGGTAATTTTAGTTCGGGTCATTTCGGGTATCGGGTCTGTTCGGTCAAACACTTCGGGTCAATTTCGGGTCGGGTCATTTCGGGTTCGAGTTAACTTCGGGTCGGGTCAAAATCGAGTCAACTCCATTTTCGGGTCAGGTCAATTTCGGGTTTCAAGTCATTTTCGAGTCGTTATTTTTGGGTCAATTTCGGGTCATAGATCGGATCATTCGGATCGAGTCATCGTGATTTGGATTAGAATTGCCGGACCTACACTATAACACTACTGATAGATAGGGAACACATTATTTGTATACACTATATTATATAAATTAAGCCAACTCACGCCCATTGCTAACTGCCAAATTGGTACAAAGCACGCCGCTGCACCCTAAGTCCTATACTCCCCCTAACTTTTCCTTTTTTAATTCACTTTCTACAGCTCAAGACTTTCTTCTTTAACAACTTTCATGTGTATGATTCATGTGTGTATATATATACTACCTCCATTTTATATTTTTTACAGCTTAAAAATATTTTATATCTTATAAATAATACCATAAAGTTGCAAAAAATATGAAATAGAGGTAGTAGTTCAAAATATTTATGTACATCTAGGCTATGTTCTCTTTATGTGAAATAAAATGGATACATTTGATTTTTTTGTAGGTTTGATCTATTATGGTTTGATTATCTTTCTTGATTGTCCAGTTTGATTTGATTTGATTAAATTTGACTGTGTTTGTACACTGATATATAACACTAAACATTATCAGTTGGAATCTCATTAGATTTGTCTCATGTGTATGTTTCAAATATCTAACTTTCATTTTTTTTATGCATATAAAATTAAAGATATATGACAAACAAAAAAAAGAAAATAAAAGTTACGGTATGATATGAAATGATGATTCTAATAAGAACAAGTAATAAGTAATAAGAACTGGGCGAAAAGTGAAAACCTTTATTAGCTTGTGAGTAGGGTAAAGTGAGTTAATCAATCAAGTGATGGTCTAATGGATTTTGATTCAAATTTTAACCAATTTAAGTACTTGCATTATCAATTAACATAGCTCAAAACTTGTTGTAAAACCTAGGTTGATTTATTTTACTTGTATTTATTTTAAAATGTAACATACCTCCTTTTGAAAAAATTGTCACATTGCCCTAATAACATATATTAAAAAAAGACACGAATTATAATTGATTGTACTCATTGAGTCATTGTAGGAAGACAAGAATGTGTAAGGCAACACCAACTATAAATCTATATATAATATTGGGATAATGACCCATTGTTGTTATACTAATATACTATGCCACATTTCAATACACTTCAATACTTCATATGTTGCTTACCAGAGATGGGAAGGAGAGAGGTTTAAAGGTGGATGGACAAGTGTGGGATTTGGTAGTATTTACCTTGTTGTGTCATTGGTTTATGTAAAAAGAAATATCCACATGTGAATTAGAACTAATTGTCTCTCATAATAAATAAATAAATAAATAAATTAAATTAAATTAAAATAGAAAAAAAAGGAAGAATTGATAAACATATAACTTTGGTGGGATTCTCCACCTATTAGCAAATAGTTTCGATTAACTTAAAATCTTGTTTGGATTGTAAGTGCACGGATTTGAATACCTGTTTATTGCTAGTAGCCTAGTAGAATTGATTGTGGGATTACTTTAACACGATGAAGATTTACTACACCCAACGTTATAGCTGGTATTTATCTTATTATCAAGTTACAAGTAGCTTATCAAATTAATTTAGTTCAATTGCCTTGTCTCCCAACCTCAAGGTTATGAATTATAAACCCTAATTAAGAAACTGTGAGAATAAGAAGTCGCTTAAACCGTAATTAAGACACTTTGATCTTGTATAAACTTTACCTTCTAAACAAGTTCAAGTTAACACCATATCTCACCATATCATATAAAACACACTACTTTTTAAACAATCTAATCTAATATGAGATCAAAAATCTAATCGGACTACATTAAATTAATCTTAAAGCCTAATAGTTTTATGAGAATAGTACTAGGAGTGTATATAATAATTAAATAAAATAAAAAGAATGACCCACAAAATGAATTGGATTAGTTAAAAAAGAGGGGGTCCAAAAAGCCGTCCAACATAATGGTAAGCATCTCCAACGGTAGCCTTGACCAAAACAGCGAGGTAGAAATTCATTCACGCGACTTACCTAAATGGGCCCGGGCCCATTTACTTGTACTCTCTTCTTTAAAAGGAGCGGCCCGCTTGCGGCGACTGGGCTATTATTGGTTACTTTGATTTTCAGCTTTCATTTCACCATTTTTCTGACTGCAAAATATTATCAACCTTGTTGTATATGTACCTTCTTCTTTGTAGGACTCATAATCTATGGTTCATTCTATCATAGTCGGTCCTTTTATATTTATCTCAATTGTCCTTGGTACCGCTAATAATTGACAGTATTGATAAGGCATCTTTATGTACTCCTTCGGTCTTTTTATGTTTCTCTCATCTGAAAATTTTCATTTGCTATGACCATTTACTCGTACAATCTTGTTACATTGATCTTGATGTGTAGCAATACAATATTAAATTTTCATGATTTTTAACTATGTATCATCAA